ATATATTTGCAGAATCACCTGAGCTCTCTTTTGAAAAGAAAATCATCCTATATTTCCACAAAATACAAGATTTCAAATGCCAACTCAAAGCACCAGTGTGTAAAAATACTCATATCAGATAGAAACTTCAAAGTTCAAGAAGGGGAATTGTGACAATTACTGGGTTCTGTTTTTACATAACAAATAACAGTAGAAACAGAATAGATTCAAAGCACCATTTTCAATTTGAAAGCCAAATATTCTTACAAAATGTCCACTGCAATGGTTGTCCATGAGACATTTCCATCTCTTGGAAATTATTTGGCAGGTTTAAGACGAAGACGAAGATCGTTGCACATTTTAGCAATTGCATATAAAGACAATGTAATAGTTGCAAAACAAAAGACAGAATTAATTATAACCATTGATCAATAAAGATCAAATCAACCACAATGTAAAACCACTTGAACATGATCTGTTCTATAGGTTGTACATCTAAATCCAGATATTCATCTAAGATAAAACCACTAGTATGTTGTGTTTCATCTATGCAATGACCTGATGGGCAGCAGGTCATTGCTTTTTGACAACATCACAAAATATGACACTAAGAAAGATTCACAGATCTCAACACCAAATCCTGTTAACCTGGTCCTATATCCACACAAATCATATCCTGTTTCTCAACACCATAATAACCCAAAATCAGATTGCTAAAACTTAATCAAATCAGACATTAGGCCAAAAATCAAACTGTCACGTCACTGTATGTGTCCAAGTGTGACACATATCCTAGTTGATACACTTGCCATATTCTGCCACTTTCCGTTTCACTTGTATGATCAGAGGTGAGCATTTCGTAGCAATATCGGACACAGAGCATTCTTAATCCATTTACCTACCAAGAAATTTAAACTTCAATTAAAATAAGATAAAATGCGTGATAATTTTATCTTATTTCACCTTATAAACAAAAAAGACATAAGACTTACATCATTTTTGTTCAAATCCATCTTCCACGTATTCAAATTCCCCTTGAAAGTTTCCAATTGCCTCATGGCTATGACACCAACACCCATACCTTCCATGTTCCCATAACATGCCTTCTTTGTTATTTCAAAATGAAAGTTGGAAATTTTACTTGCTCTTTGCTCAAGTTGTTTTTCATTGAAAAACTCACACATTCCCTTTTTCTGCAAGTCAGTGAAACTATATTAGATTAAGTTGAAGAATAAACAATGAAGTTCAAGCTTAAGTCAGTATTACCATGCTTTAAAAAGGATCTTACCAAATATTCAACACATGTATCATACACCTTAGTTTTATCTTCATTTGAATCAATGATGGTTATCTTCTCCTTTTTCATGTTGAAACAAACTATATAAACATCATCCTTGTCTGTTTCATCAGCAACCAAGAAGAATACTTGCAGTAAAATAAGAAGAGAAATGATATCAGAATAAATGAATACATTAGATACAAAACACCAAAAACAAACAATTCCATGTAGCTGACCAAATCTGCAGTACACATATCAATGCCGCTATAAAACTGTTGTTCTACCAATTCTCTGTCAGCGACTTCACAAAAGGTTTCATGAGCATCGTCATATAAATTGATCTTTACAAACTCAGCCTACATGAATAATGTAAAGTTTATGTCAGTGTCACATTTGAGTATCTCCACTTTTATACACTAAAGTACATGAATAATGTAAAGAGGTTACATACAAAAGGATTCGTGCTAAGGAAAACTCGATAGACATCTGACTTGCTTCGATGCTTTTCCTCGGCACTCAAGAATCGACACCAAATCTGTAAAATAAGCGACGAGACAGACCCTTCGGAAAAGGATATTAAATCGCTTCGCTTCATTTCACAAAACATGTCTTTGTACAAAACTTCCCTGTAATTAAAATTATGGAAAATAGGATAAATAAATATCAAAAAAATCTTAATAATAATAATTAAATTAAGTAACTTTTTTACGCAACA